GCCAGAGCTGTCACACCTCCTTTTTACCTGCGCCCGTAGGGGCGTAAAGGGAGTTTTTCCAATTTAAGGACAATCGAAACGGAATTTATTTATTTAATTCAGAGTCGCCACTTGGGAGATTTATGGTGTCCCAAGTCACCGGTTGAATCCCGAACCGAGGAAAATATTGACTCTGTATTACAGTCCGCGAACCAGAAATCCGAGTAAGGAATTCTGTTAACCCGGGAGAAGGTGTTAGGCATTCCCGAGTTCCGTGGTTCTAGCACGGTCGCTCAACTGTTATATTTAGCTTTATTTATCTGATTTTAATACATTTTGAACCTATATGCAAATTTTAACTTTTAGCCGCTTTTATTATTACTATTTTAAAAGAGAATTGCAACGTCGTGAAAACACGTCTCGAATCACGTCACATAAACGCACCCGTGGTTGTTGACACATTTCGACTTCGTTGGGATTTGAATTTGAGTCACATAAATGTGCACTCGAGTTTAGGAAGGTAATGTTATTAAAATACGCGCCTAAAGAGACTAATGCGTTATTATTTTTGGGGAAGGCCGTGAAATTTACTAAACGGCCCATCCCCAAAATCTGAGTATTTTAATACAACCATTTATTGAGGGCCCCGCAATTTGTGCATTTTATTTGGCGAGACTCGTCTCATTTATTATTTAAAGGCCAACCTAAAGTAAACTACGATTTTCTATTTGATTTTTGTCTCTAATAGTAAACAAAAAAAAACCTAGTTAATTAATCATTATTTAAGGATTACTACATTTAAATTCTGAGCCTTTCATTAGAAGCACATTTTTTTTAAAAGCAAAGTATGTGGACCATCCAATTAACGAAGATACTAGAACAAAAATGCAAAGCACTGCGATTTAATGAAGCTGCCCAAAATGAAATTCATACCAAACATGGAACCATTAAATCAACTATTTGTACACAATTACAAATTCAACAAAACATGAACATGAAACCAAGATTATCATTTAATTGAAGAGAATAAACTAACTAATCCAAGAAAGAAAATTAACAAAATGATTCATTAACATGAGGACTAGTACCTCTGAACATGAAAGCAAACGTAAAAACTGACCAAAGGTGCGTACCAGTACCGGAGTTACGAGCGTTAACCTTGGCAACTCGACGACCTCGCCGGACCCGAAAACGGACAGAACGCCGACTGTGTTAGAACGGGGCAGAAGCAGGCTGTCTAGATTGATTTTGGAGGTTGTTTCAGCTCATTATCCGGCGAGCTGCTATGAACGAGAAGAAGCGAAAGCAGCGATGGATGAAGGGATGAGCAGCGGCGGAATGGAGGTGGCTCGCTGGTGGTTCTGGCGGCTTGGTGAAGCAGCAGCAACTGCTCGACTCACGGTCTGCGGCTGTTTTTGGTTGAGGCTCAAGCCATGAAAAACATGTTGTTCTTCAACAACGAAGAAGAAGCTCGGGTGGTCGTTGGTTGGAGACGAGCTGCTGCTCGTTGCTGGTTCGTGGTCGATGGTCGGCGACTATGGAGGTCGTTTTGAGGAGACGTGAAGCAGCACGCAGCAGCAGCTGGTGGTTCAGGCGAGGTAAGGGTCGTTTGGTGTGGTTTCCGGCGAGAATGAGAGGCGTGGTCGACTGGCTGAGGGTGTTCGACTGGAGAGGGGTGGCTGGGCGACGAAGAAGAAGATGGCTGGAGGGTGGTCTGTTCGTTGCTGGTGGAGGGCAGCGACGGACGGAAATGGTGGTGAGGTTGCTGCTGCTGGTGGCAGGCGTGGGGGGGGAGGGG